CCCCCGTGGCACATAGCAAAGTTAAGTAAACTTGGTTGCAAAGAAACCAGTGAATAAGTGAAAGATTTACAAGGCTATTGATTTATATTTTCTTTGATGAAACTTTTTTTAAGAAATTGATTTTAGAGAGAGGAAGGGGGGGGAGAGAGAGAGAGAGAGAAACATCAATCGGTTGCCTCTACTACGTGCCCTGAGTGGAGATCAAACCTGAAAGCTAGATATGAGCCCGAGCCGGGAATTGAACTGGCAACACCTTGGTGCACAGGGCGATGCTCCAANTGAAGAAACTGTCTTTACCCCATTGTATATTCTTGACTCTATTGTCTTAGATTAATTGACCATAGAGGCATGGGTTATTTCTGGGCTCTCTGTTATGTTGCATTGATCTATGTGTCTGTTTTTATGCCATACCATGCTGTGTGGCGGTATCATGAATTTTTATTTAACTTTTTAAAAAATTTATCTTTATTGTTGAAATTATTACAGATGTCCCCCCCCCCATTGATCCCCTCCACTCTGCATCCCACCTTCTAGGCCTTCACCACACTATTGTCTGTGTCCATGGGTTATGTAGACATGCATCTAAGTTCTTAGGTTAATCTCTTCCCACCCCCACCTTCCCTCTGAGATGCCTCAGTCTGTTCCACGCTTCTCTGTGTCTCTGGATCTATTTCGTTCATCGGTCTGTTTCGTTCATTAGATTCCACATATGAGTGAGATCATGTAATATTTGTATTTCTCTGGCTGGCCTATTTCCCTTAGCGTAATACTCTCCAGGTCCCACCGCGCTGTCTCAGAGGGTAAGGGGCCCTTTGTTTTTACAGCTGCATAGTATTCCACGGTGTAAATGTTCGAGGAGATGCTTGATATGATTTCAGTCTTCGTGAACTTGTAGAGACTTGTTTTGTGTCCTAACGTGTGGTCTCCCTTTGAGAATGTCCCATGTGCACTCGAGGAGAAGGCCTGTTCTGCAGCTTTGGGGTGAAATGTTCTGTTGATGAAACTTCTGATGCCTCTAATACCGTTAAATCTGCATTGAACATTAGTCCGCATCGACATTTTTGTACTTACTTCGATAATAGCAGCATTGATGGCAGCTTGAAGAGCCACAAAACCGCTCTTCCATAACGCTGTCACTCCACAGTCAACATTTCCAAAGTACGTTTCATAACAATGAGCTTCAAGGGACAAAGCATAGCTGTCATTAGGGGTTAGTTCAGGCGTGATGATGCGAGACAGCAGACTTTACCGTGGCCCTAGATTCCAACTGTTTTTATTCTGACTCAGAGCCTATGAAAACATACATTATAGCAACGCTTCGGACAGAGGGGTGGGCTCTAGAGCACTCCCAAGAAATGACAGGCATCAAATTGTAACACCCCCCAAGCTTTCTCACCTGCGCTTCTTTCTGATCGAGAATTCCGCGGAGCTCTTCTCCTCTCTGACTTTGTGTTGTGAAAACAGCCTCACTTTGTTTTTTAGAAGTTAGCAGGGTCTCGTATGGATGGACAAACGCTACCCTAAAGTTTTGCCTAACATTGGCTAGAACGCAGGCATAGTGAGCAAACGTCAGTCTGGATGAGATAATTTACTATGTTTAAGTCATGTCAACCAGAACATCTTTGGAAGAAATAAATATATACTTATAAAAAAAGGCCTACCAGCCCACTGAGGATTAGACTACATTAAAAGGATATTATTTACTATGACAGGTTAAAACCTGAGTATAGGAATTCAATTGATTTTCATTAAAATTTTAAATATTTTAAAAATCATTTGAAATAATTTAGATATATGCAAACGATATCAGACAATATAATAAACACATATGTATCTATGATCAAATTTTAAAATTAAATACATTATTATAAACACAGCTGGAACTCCCTGTGTATATGATCTTATGCTTTCCCTGGTCCCAAACCCCTAACTAGCTGTTTTCACGAACTTTGAGTTTGTTTATATATGTATATATATGCCTTTAAATTTTTATGATGAATCCCTAATATATATATATATATATAATTTTAAAAGGCTTTATGTAAACCTGATAACTCATTAAATTCATTATTCCTCACTTTGCTTCTTTGGTTCTATACTATGATTTTGAAAATTATATAAATGGCTAGTTTTTCTCCTTCCTATGATTTTATAGAATCCCATTACAGGAATGTAATTAAATTTATTTATCCATTCTCCTGTTGATGGAAATTTGGTCAGTTCCCTTTTTCTTTTTACTATTACAAAAAAAAAAAAAAGCTGCTGCTCTAAAAAGCCCGATCTCTGTCTTGTTAGGATATATGTGTATCAGTTAGGATAGTCTCCTATATGCTACCGTAACAAACAAGCCCCAAGTCTCAATGGCTTGTCACAGAGAAGGTCCATTTCTCTCTCAGGCTACAAATTCAGCATAGATCTTGGGAAGCAGGGGTGGGGTGGGGGTCTTTGATTCCACATCAAACTAAGGGTCCCAAGATGATGGTGTTTCCTCCAACTGCTAACTGCACTACCTGTTACGTATAACTACTTAGCTTGCAGAAGCAAGTGAGGAAAAGTGATAGAGAACTCATATTTGCTTTTTAATGTCTCTAGTCTAGGTATCTGGTTATAGCTACAAGACTTAATTATTCCATACCCTCCGGCAGGAGAAGAGGAGAGGCTGTAAGTCCTTGACAAAGGCCTGAGACTCTCACTAAAAGATTCCCATGGTGCTGATCAGTTACGGGTTACATACATCTTCCACTTAAAAATTAAATTTCTCAAATTTTGAGGCATTTACAACGTTTTGTGATGTTGGCTTCTCTTTTGCTACATATCTTTGTCCAAACTTTGTACCGTTTTATTTACTCTCTGGCAAATGTGATACCACGTGGGATTTCAAAATGCATTTCCCTGATTGCTGACGCAGGTAAGCGTCTCTCCGTGTGTTTCTCCTTCCAGGAAATTCCTATTTATATGTTTTCATGACTTTCCTCTTTCTGTGCCTTCTTCTTATTTATTCCAAGGAGATCTTTATGTTATTTTGGAGGTTTACCTTTTGTTGATTACATTTGTTGTTAATATCTTATCACAAGTTTTAATCTTTATTTTTCACCCTCTGCATGGTCACTTTGGATAAAGAGAATTCTTCAATTTGGGTCTGGTGGAATTTATCAATCTTTTCTTTTATAGATCATGTATTTTTTTGTTTAAGAAATTATTTTCTATCCCAGAATTATAAAGATATTTCCCTATATTGACTTCTAAAATGTTTATAGGCATGTGTTTTTTTTTCTCATTTAATTTTTTTACCTGGATTGGTTATTTCATGAGGTCATTTCCTTTTGTTTCTTATAGAAAGACAATTTTTCTGGCACTGACTGACCTGCAGTGTCTTCTCAGTCCTATGTTAGTTTTGTGAAAACTTTCCAGGGCTCTCTCTTCTGCTTCGTTGATCTGTCAATTACTATGGTAGCACAGTCTTAATTGCTTATAACTTCATTCTTTATAAAAGAGCATCTTGGCTATTCTGTGCCCCTTTTAGAGGTATATTTTAGAATAAATGTATTGATTTATATGAAAAGATCATTATGATTTTGGTTGAAAGTACAATAGGTCCCTGAAGAAATCTGGGCAGAATTCATATCTGCAGTAAATAAATTATATATTTTGTATAATATATGTATACATGCATGTATGGATATACCTGTATGTTTATATGTAAATATGTGTGTGTGTGTGTGTGTGTGTATACTACCATGTAATACAGTATGTTAAACTACCAGNATGGATATACCTGTATGTTTATATGTAAATATGTGTGTGTGTGTGTGTGTATACTACCATGTAATACAGTATGTTAAACTACCAGGTAATACAGTATGTTAATATACTCCAAAATCAACGTACATTTTTGAAATGTGTCGATTGGCCTGTTGACATCACCATCGCAGATAAAGGTATTAAAATTCACTGTACTGACATCTATTCCCACATGTGGCTTATGACTTAATTGAAATAGAAAGTAATGGAATTGTATAGCTAGAAAGTTACCTGTACGGTCCTTGTGTTCTTTGTGTGCTACACCATATAGGCCCCGAAAGAAATTCAAATCATAGGAGAAGTCGTTAGTAAAGATGACGCTTACTATTTCCAAAGAATAATTTGCCTTAAATTCTTCAATCATTTTTTCATTAGGCACTCCGAAGACTTCTCTACCTGCCATTACAAGAAGGGAATATTATAGTTAGTAAATTATTAGGATGCTAACTTCAGGTTTCATGTTCAATTGCTTCTACTAGAGTTCTTTATGGAAATCCAGTGAAATCCAATGTTGATTTGGAGTAAGTCAGACACAGTAAAGGTTGGGGAGAAAAACATTTCTATAATTTCATCCAGATAGTGTATAAGCAGAAGGCATACATAAAAATCAGTTATTTTTATATGTTGAAATTATTGAACCAATTTCAATTACATATAATATACCATACTGATTAAACTATTCACAGAAGAATTAGCATTACAATAAATCCAACATGGTAGGTAGATAGATAAATAGATAGATAGATAGATGATAGATAGATAGATAGATAGATAGATAGATAGATAGATAGATAGATCATAATTAGGTACTGGTTTATATCAGGTAGAAATAACTATATAACTTCATCTTCCTTTAACAACTCTTAAGTCTGGTTAATATGCTGAAAAAAAAGAGTGAAAACCTAAAAAATATGTTGAGTGATTATGTTGATATCACTAAAATAATCCCTCTTTTTTGCTGATATTGTGTTCCATGCCATACAGATGCTTTGGTAAGACTGAACAAAAATGAGAAGAAATACAAGAGAAGTTCTGGATTGGGGTGGGCATGTCAAAGAAAAATGTGGAGGTAGCAGGCAGCATGTATTTTGATAGAATTAACTTCCAGGGCCTGGGTGGAGCAAGAGTCACAGGTTCCCCTCATAATAATGCTACTCGCGGGAGGGGATCCTGGTGCCTACAATTAAGACTGAGTACCTTCTAAGTCACGTTTTTATATTCTCTTTAAAAATTAAAATTTAATTCCATAAAAGCCAGCCTTTTAAACTGTCAGATTTCATGGTTTTCGGTATACTCACAAAGTTGTGCAAGCAGTAAGCCACTGTTAAATTATAACTCAACTCACATTTGTGGGGCAATCACCACGGACGCCCCTCTGAAGTGTGCATTGAAATTTGTAAAACAAAAACAAAATGGTTGTTTTTAATTGCCGGACACCCAATCCTCCTTCTAGTAAACACCCTAAAATTTATCTGGGCTACTGCCCCTCTTCCATTCACACGCGGTTCTGGTTCACAGATCGACCTGGGACCCCAACCAGTGGAAAAGTGACAGTCTCCCTAACCAGTGAGATTAGTTCTTGATGGACCAAGGTCAAGACTAATCTAAAGTAGACCATCTGTTTCAATGGGTATAATCTCTGAAATTATTTTGAACTGTCGGGAAAGACCTGTATTCCTTTCACTGGAGTTGTTTATGGGGTAGGCCTTAGACCCGGGGATTCCGAGGACCAGCTCTGTGACCATCTGGGGGGAGCCAGCCCGTGAACGTAGGCAGCACACATGACTACAGGCCTGGCAGGGGAGACATGTGTCTTCCTCTCTTGTTGACACTTCGCTATCCAGCTGTGTTTCGACACCCTTTTCCTTTAAGCTGGACAAAAGGTGCCCCTTCTCCATATAACAAGATGAACGGGAATTCTCACTCTCAACTGAAATGCTCATGAAAACTATAGGACTGTTAACCTTATTTCAAATATGGTGGTAATGAGACTCAGAGAAGCTGACGAGCTGCAAAACGTGCTATAGGCATGATGCGAAACTGCTTTCGACAAATGTGCTCTGGCTCTACGCCCAGGTCTCTTGCCTCTGTGCTCGGCTGCTTCTGCTTGGATTTCAGGAAATCGAGGACATGTTGCACCATGATCTGGACGGTAAGCATGCTCACCTTAGGTTTCATTGATATGTATCTTAACACCGAAGGGTGAGCACTTAGAACACAGAATATCCTTCACTAGAATCTTCAACTATAGTAAGACAATCTTTTTTTGGTAGTAAAAGGTGAGCATAAAATTCCTATAGTCAAACTTAAGAAGAGAAAAGACTGGTGTGTTTTTTTTTGGATATAATAATAAGTAAATACTAGAGCAACGGTCTCATTCCCATAACAAAGCTTCCACGGCTACAAGTCAACAAATCGCTAACCACTCCTACTTTTCAACATCTACCCATTTGGGAATTCCAGGCTTCCCCAAACAAGATCAGCAGATGTCTTTGGTGAAAGCTCTGTGCACGGCAATTGGTAATCCCTCCCTTGGCAAGAAATCCATTCACAGTTTTGACTTAGATATTGAGCGATGGCCTCTTACTTCCAACAAAGGGAAAATACGTTCACATTTCACATAATCTAGAAATTGGGACAACTGGCACAGCTTATCAACTGAAATGCAAATTAAACGCACGCATCCGCAGTCAAAATAACTGAATATTGACATTAGAAGCTTCTTTTAGGTTGCTAGAAAACTCACCGTTCATAATGGAGGCCGAGGCAACTTTCTTCATTATCTGTTGGGTTGTACTGGTGAAAGGTGTGTATATAACATTAAATGACAAGTTCAGTGAATCTACCCGTCCCAGGTTGATGGTAGGCATTGAAGAAAAATCATGAATTTCATGACTAGTAGGATATAGGTACAAAACAAGTAGTAGCAGCAATGAGCCTAACCATTCCTATGCAATGCAAGAGGAAAAAAAATAAAGAAAACAATGATTTCAAAGTAGTCATTCACAATCATTTGGTCTTACAGTTTGCTCGTTCACTTTTCTAATTTCAATATATCTCACATTATGAACTATTTACAATATAGACAGTACAAATTTCAGCAGCCTGTGTAATATCAATGAGCTATTATTAGGGATTTAAATTCTTCGGTCCACACAGCAATAGCCTAAAGTGTTGCACTGGTCATGAAAACAGGAGAGGCAAGAGTAGCAAGACCTTATAAATTATTATCAGCTGGTATTACTGTGGCCACCTACTCACGCTGTACAGGCAGACCTCGTTTTATTGCATTCTGCTTTATTGCACTTCACAGATGGCACTTTTTTTTTTTTCAAATGGAACGCAAGACCACCCACTAGCAGAAAGATTACAATGAGCTTTATTGCAATACTCACTTTATTACAGAGGTCTGGAACTGAACCCTCAATACCTCCCAGGTATGCCCGTATTTGATTCTGCTGAAAGCTTACGTGTTATAAGAGACAGTTTCAAGGTCTTCCCCACTTAGTGGTAACATATTAGTTACATGCAGAGATTCTAGTATTGGAAACTCAACAGCATGTTGACAACCTGAGAAACACTATCTTGGTTAGTTATCAATACTAGTCACTTAAACACTTGCAATAAGAAATCACTCTATTCCTAAACGCATGGTTGTAGAAAAAAAATTCACAATAGATATACAGTAAAATTCCTGCTTAGTTAAAAATGCTACTTAGCTCTACCGATCTGATTTTAGAAAAAGGTACCAAAGTTCAACCAGGATTTTTGTTATATGGTAAGGTTATAAGTTCTAACACTAATTTTCTTCTGGGCACGAATCACATTTCCAAATTACTCACTATTTTTAAAGAGAACAATTTACTTTTTAAAAAAAAAAAAAGAGAGAGAGAGAGAGAAAGGTTCACCTAGCTGGTGTGGCTCAGTTGGTTGAGCACTGTCCTGTGCACCAGCAGGTCGCTGGTTCGATTCCCAATCAGGACACGTGCCTGGGTTGCAGCTGGCAGGAGGCAGCCGATCATTAGATGCTTTCATCTCTCTCTCTCCTTTCCTCTCTCTCTTTAAAAAAAAAAAAAAAAAAGCAATAAAAACATATATATATATTTTAAAGAGATTCAAAAGAAAAAGATATCAGTTACTATTTCTGCCGGTTGATTTGTTTGCCATATCTTTGGGATGCCAGTATCTTAACCCAAGCATCTACGTGTGGGAACGCTGGTAAAAAGTGTGACCACTGACTTTTAAACCATTTATTGGGCTCTCTGCCCCTGACTAGCTTCAGTGCTTTCAAACCTCCCACGACCGGTCTGTGTAATCGAAATACCTTGAGACAGATCTGACTCCAGGAACACCTTCTTCTGTTGTAGAAAGGGGTTTTATATTTATTTCCGGAGGGGAAATAACAAAGCAGAGACACCTCCCAAGGAATGTACATTTTTCAATCGTAAATACAAAGAGACACAGATATTGGATCGTACCATCAAGGACTCCCTTTTCAGTCTCCATTTCTTAAGCAAGTTTTTGCAGAATAAGGCCCACGTTTGCCGACACACGCTTATCTCTCTCCTTCTCATTTCGCCTGTTTAATAAGAAGAAACAGGAGAAGTTAAAGTAAATGCGAAGGCCTTGACGAGAAGAAATACCCTGCAGCCGCGAGAACGAGAGGCCTGGTAACCCCAGTGCTGGAATGAGTGCCCGGCCGGGGGGCCCGGAGCTTGCATTTCATTCCTGGTGCCCTCCTCCCTTCCCCCCTCCCGTCACTGCTTGTCACGCCCTGTCCGCTGCCAACGCTGCCCCAGCCCCGGCTGTCCCCTCGCAGCGCTCTGGGGAAATGGACCTGGGCCCTCCGGAATTTTCCTCCCGCCGCGCCCGGTGTGAAGCGCGGCCAGAGCGCCACCGGAGAGGCCGCAGGGAGGGGAGCTCTCCTTCCTGGCATCACGTTGGTTCCTCTGCCTGGTTCCGAGAGAATGTGTTTTTGTCCCCACTGTTCAGACGGAACGATTTTTCCCACCGCCAAGTGCCTGGGCAGCGCAGTCTCGCTGTGCGCGTCCTCTCGCTCCTGCGCCCAGGAGCGAAGCCGAAAGGCTCCTGGCAGCCCCCGAGCGCTGGAGGCTTCTCCCCAGAGCTCTGCTTCCCTCCGCCCCCCATTGCAAGACGGTGCCCTCCAGTCTTTGCGCCTGAAGCTTGCCATTCAGGCCTCTCCGCCATTCGATGAACTGGGACAACACCTTATTCAACACCTTCTCTCCCCTCTTAGTACTCACAAAAATGATGGGGGCAAAGCAAGGCACCCCAGAGGCCCCTTGCTGGCTCTCAGGCTACAAAGCCGCCCATTCTTTTAAAAATGCTTTTACTGACTTTAGAGAGAGGGAGGGAGAGGGAGAGAGAAACATCAATGAGAGAGACCCACCGATCGGCTGCCTCCTGCACACCCCCTTCAGGGGATCAAACTTGCAACTCAGGCGTGCACCCGGACCGGGAATTGGACTGTGACCTCTTGGTACGTGGGAGGACTCTCAACCACTGAGCAATACCGGCCAGGGCCAAACCTGCCCATTCTCAGAATATTTTCTCCTAAGAGGCAAAGCTGTGAGTCTCTTAAGGAGGAACAGGAATCCCTGCCGGCCCCACACAAAGGCCTGCTGCTGCATCTTGGGGAGGGGTTGAAGCAGTAGCCACCGCTATTGGGGTTGGGGGGAAATGTGTAAACCTTCCCACCCCCACCTCTACTCCTGTTCCCAGAACACTTGTCATGCTGCTAACGAACAGGCGAACAGCCACCTTCCCTGAGAGAGAGGGGAAAGAAACCACCTTCCCCTCGACAGGACCCCCGCACTGCATGAAAAGCAACGGCATCTTCCCCGGAGGGTGGCTGGGAAACCTTCCTGTCCCCATTCCTAAGCAAAGATAAGTTGCCACTGAGGTTTGCGGTGGGGACCTGCCTTGATGCAGAGAGAGAGGCTCCCATCAAAAGGAGGGGAGAGGAAGTTCTCACACACTCAAGACCTCCCAATGGATGGATACAAGCATACATCGTAGGAGAGGCTGCAAAACAAGGCTTAGAAAATGTAGGAAGACTGAAATTATGGTCAGCATCTTTTCTGACAGTAGTGGTATGAAACTAGAAACCAACAACAAGAGGAAAGCTGGAAAATTTACAAATACGTGGAAACTAAACAACACACTTCCTTACCAGGAGTACAGTAGTAGAAGCAACAAGTCACAGTTTTAGCATATGCAACCTCGAGCAAAGAGCATATGTGTGTGTGTGTGTGTGTGTGTGAGCAAGTGTGTGGTGGTGAGAGTTAGGTAGAATTTATATGTGCTTTTTTTTTTTTTTTTTACAGCAAGGACCCAAAATACCTCCAAGAAGGANGGTATGAAACTAGAAACCAACAACAAGAGGAAAGCTGGAAAATTTACAAATACGTGGAAACTAAACAACACACTTCCTTACCAGGAGTACAGTAGTAGAAGCAACAAGTCACAGTTTTAGCATATGCAACCTCGAGCAAAGAGCATATGTGTGTGTGTGTGTGTGTGTGAGCGAGTGTGTGGTGGTGAGAGTTAGGTAGAATTTATATGTGCTTTTTTTTTTTTTTTTTACAGCAAGGACCCAAAATACCTCCAAGAAGGAGATGCCTCGGTTCGTAAGAATAACACCACCTCTTTCCATTGCCCTAAACCACCATTATTACGCAGCATGATCTGCTGAGCCTGTCCTGACAGCCGTGGGGCTCGGGCGCTCGCCACGGTCCTCACTGCAGGAGGGAAACCCTGCGTCTAAGCTGACCCGTGGAAAGTAAGGAGATTCCGGAATGATCGCTGGCTTTCTGGGAAGCACGCCAGGTGACTCGGGAGAATGGGTCAGGACTTTTGAGCACAGGGCGGCATCTCCACCCTGAAGTTGGCTCTTAAGTCCTGAACTGGGAACAAGCCGTCTCCCTCTCTGTGTACACCCTGTTGGCCGGGGAGAGACACCACGGGCTGTCATGGATGAGACACGGTGGGGATGGGTGGGAGGGTGTGTCCCCGCCCGAAGCCCTCACTCCATTCATGGAACAAGATGTCCACAGGGCTGTGCTGTTCCCTAGAGACAAAGCTCAGGAGACGGGTCCAGCAGCCAGTTTCCAACAGGGAACACATTAGCCAAGACAGCCTCAGAGGGCACTGCCGGAGGAGGAACCTACACGTGGCCACCTCATGAGGCCGAGAGGCAAGTGTGGGGGGACTCGGACTGAGTGAAGAGGCAACTGGAGGGAGGAAGAGCTCCCAGGGAAAAAGCACTGGGTCAGGGTGTCCAGTGAGAGGGGGCCGAGGATCCCCAAAGACTGTTCCTGGAGCAGGGAATTCACAGTAATCACTTTTAAGGGGATTGTGCAAGGCTGTGCAGCTGGGCAAGCTGCCAAGGGGGGTCTCCTCTCTGTGGGACCAGCGCAGCCCAATGCAGCATGAGTGCGTCAGCCTGGCTCCAGGCCCCTAGACTTCCCGCTGCAAGTTCGCACCATCACCTGCAGCATCTGCCCCGAATCCACGCACACAGTGTAGCCGATCCAAAGGCTAAGGGCCGCACGAATCCCCTTCTGTGCACACGGTGGGTAGATTCTCACCGCAGTGGCTCTGATCTTTCTCCTGTCCTGTGGCTGTTAAATTCAGAATAAAGTGTTTACACCACAGGCATGTGAAAGTTCTGTTTGCTGAAAGCAACGAGAGTCTGAAAGGAAGCTGATGAGGAAAAGCTGCGCGTTTCCCATGCGGGCTCCAGACGCGGGGCGCGGAGCGGAGCGCCTGGGAAGCAGCTGTCGTTCCTGAGGTTCTCAGCCCGAGGGAGAAACAGGCGGGCAAAGGCGGGCTCGCCGCCGCTCGCGTGGAAAATGAGACAGAAACTCATAAACAGCAAGACAAGAATAAATGCTGTGTTTGTGCACTCACAACTGTAACCCTACTTTTGCCCGCCCCTGTATTTCTGTAAAATGTTTTTTGTAAACAGCTTCAAAGTCAGAAAAATAGTTTATCCAGAATGCCCCCAAGGTGTCGTGGAATAAAAGCAAAGCCCTTCAGAACAATCCAGGTTTACAAATTAATTCTCAATACTCTCCAGTCTTCACACTCTGGGAGCAAATTTCAGCTTATTCCAACACTCCGTTTCTAACTTAAAACCACAGAGCCGTTGTGTAGTTTTTTTAAAGAACTTATGTTTTCGCTCAGTGCTTTCATCTTTACAATTTTAAATATCAGGAGTCCAAACACGTCCGAATAGTCCATTAATTTTCAAAATAGTTTCCCCAGGGAGGGTTGGCACTCAATTCCTAAAGATCTATTTATAATTTTGTGAGAGAGAAAAAAAGAAAGAAAAAATAGAAACACCCTCCAAGCAAAACAGAAAAAGGACAATGAACTTACCTTTGAGAAATTTGGAGCAAGTAATCTAGAAACACGCTTTATGCACTGGTCTCCTTGTTTAGAAGGAAACAAGTCATGTGTTTTCCTGCTCTTGACCGCATCTCTAGAATTTGCTTTAACTGTTTGGCTTCTGTGGAAAGTTCCTGGGGAGGCTGTTTTCAGAAGAGGTTATGATCTCAATCTGTCGGTCCTGCCAAAAATCACACTCACGTGATTAGCCTTGGACTATTCATCTCTCTCTCTCTCTTTAATTGAATACTTATATTTATTCATGAATCTAGCAGTCAAAGCCATTCATCTTCATTCTCCTTGTCTCGGTTGAGCTAATGCAAGCATGAGGGCTTGAGAATAAACTTGTATTTTTACCAAGCAGGGGACCAAAGAAAAAGTTAAAAACGTTTGAAAAGTCTATTTTTCCAACAGATTATCCTACTTAAAAATCAATACTGTCTCACGGGCAGTTAGTCAGTCTACACTGTCGAAAAGCAGCAATTTTTGGGTAACTGTTAGAACCTGCCTCCGTCGTTGATAGCGATCTCTAGACAATCCTAATTGCACAACACCACCCCTTGCTCCCCTCGCCGTTAGCTCCTGACGGGCAGAAGGGACAGGAAGCCTGTGTCATGTCTGAGCTCCATCGGACGCTTCAAGACCTAACGAAGGATTCTGAACAGAAATAAAACGACAGCAAAATACTTAGTTTTTAAATCTGCAATCACTGGTAACCAGGGAGACAGAGAGACGGCAGCCGGGGAACAGTTAACTAAAAACCAGACAAACTGTTTCAGGCTTGCACAGAGATTGAAGGGAGTAATTTATTCTGTAATTAAGACTTCATATTCGGGCCTGGCCAGACTGGCTCGGTTGGGTGGGCCTTGTTCTGTGCACCGAAAGGTTGCCGGTTTGATTCCCGGTCAGGGCACATGCCTGGGCGGGCATTTGATTGAGTTGAGGTATATTGATACCTCCCGCCCTTCCTTCTCCCCCCCCCCAAGCATGTCCTCGGGTGTGGATTTAAAAAAAAGAGACTTTACATTCATTTATTAATATTTTCAACATGGCTTTAAACTCACTTTGCTGATGAAAATTGCCATGTCCAGTACACAGCAGGCAAGGGGCATGAGGGGACTGATCCCGAGTCCCAGGCCTCCGCCTGTGCTCACTCGTGAGC